TCTCTTCACTGCTTATTCATCTCTTCCTCACTCCTATTCCCAGCTTCTTATAATAGTAAGGGTGATTTAGCACTTTAGTACTTTTAATGAGACCTATTTGATATCAATATAATTTTAATGAGATACTTTGGCTATAAAACATATTTAAGCCTTTAAAAATTGTCAATCCCATGAGAAAATTGAACTGGTTAATTGGAAATGTAAAACGACAAGAAAAAAATTCTTGAAAATGGAATAGGCAGCCTTACCTGGCAGGCATCCACACGTCCCTCCAGGTACCCGGCACACAACATTCCAGCTGTAATGACTCCACCATATGCCTCTCCACTGTTGCAGATCTTATTATCTATAATCTTCACTAATCCCTTTTGGAGTATATTAGGACTTGTTCCTAAGACAAGAAAATTATATGATTTTTGCTAACGTCAATATTAATCTCTCTGGCTAGGTTTAACACTATGTACAATTTCCAAATCAAATTAAGCTTAATTAAGCTCTTATTTATCTCTGTTCTTAGTAACAAAAAAGCAATTAATGTTTACGAACACACAAAGCTATTTCTAAAAATGACCATATTTAGAAATACTTAGTGTATGCATACATATGTGATGGGATTTATTTTCCTTTTGAATTGTTTTGGAATTTTATATGTATTACACGTATGCCTTAGAAGGCAAAATGAAATATTCATATTACAGAAACATATATTTTATGATCATTTGTAGATTTTCAGCTAAATTTGTTACTGTAAATTCTGAACCTTGAAATTAATTTTAGGTTTCTTTTTCTGCCTTCAAAATACATTTATGAATATAAATAGCCCCTAAATCTTTACATTATTAGGGTCATAGGGATGCACATGTTTAAATAGTCTCTGCTCAAGTATCACCTCTTCATTGAGAACTACTCATTTCACTTCATCAAAAATGCTCAATCTCCTGTAGCCCCCTTTTTTTTTCCTATGGCACTTATTTGCAAACATGCCATGTAATTTACTTATTGACTTTATTTTGTGATTATTGTCTGTCTTCCTTTGCTAAGAATGAAAACTTTTTCCTTTTTTTTTGTCCTAATAGGCAGGAATATTTGCCTGTTTTATTCATTAATGTATCCAAATCACTGAGACAAGTACCTGGAACAAATATGGTAATCAAAATAAATGGGGTGTTT